GGGGAGGCAGCACGGCAAACACGCTCTAAGGGGGGGAAATGTCACAGCAGCCTCCTGTCCCCAAGCCCTGCACGGGGATGACATCCCGGATGATGCTCAGCTCTTGGTGGGTGGGCACGGGGAGTGCAGGTGAAGCCCCCACTGATGTTCTCCACCTGTGTGCAGCATCTCCCCAGGGGCTGTCCCTCTCTCTACTCCCCTCACAGCTCCATGGCCAGCTGAACCTGCTGCTCCCTGAACTGCCAAACCAGGCTCTGCAGGAGATTTTGCCATGCTGATGTGTCTCTGAGGTGACAGCCCTGCAGCCCAACCTCTGCCCACAGCTCCTCCTGGGCTCTGGGAGACACCAGCAGGGTCAGGAACCACATCTGCCCTGGCACTGCCCTCCCTGTGGATGTCCCTTCGCTCCAGGGAGAGGCAGGCAGGCAGCAAAGCTCTCACCAACCTCCCCCATCCCTCCTGAGCAGCTCCAGGCCTTAGAATCTCAGAATCCTTAAGGACAGAAAAGTCCTCTGAGATTGAATCCAGCCATTCCCCCAGCACTCTCAACCTGCCACTAAATCATGTCCCCAGATGCCACATCTACAGGACAGGGATGGTGACTCCACCACTGCCTTGTGCCAAAGCTTCACAGCCTTGTCTGTGAAGGAATTCTTCCTAATATCCAACAAGACAGACTTCCTCATCCTGTCCTCCAGCAGCTTCCAAAAACCAAACACATTGATGGAGTGTCCCAAGAAGCAGAGCCCAGACATTGGCCTTGCCAAACACCATTGCCCTGCTGGCACTCACGTCATGTCTGTCTGTCCCTCTCCTCACCCTGCCAAAGGTCCCTCTGAGTGGAGCTGTGTGACAAACAGCGCTCAGCAAAGCGCTCCGAGGCATGCTGGGGGATAATCTATGCAAATTGCTGCTCAGGAGTACAAACACATAAATTATTTGCTTGAAATATAATGTGCTCGTGTGGCTCCAAAACTTGTTCTCCCCAGATACAAGAGGGAAGTAATGACTCATGGTATTTTTCACTTGCACAAATGCACCGCTGGCTGCAGGGAGAACAACAGCTTGGGAAGCATAAACGTGATTTAGGATGTGCCCCACGGCATTTCTTCCTACAGCCTTGGAAATGATTGGGGGCTAAATCCAGGCTTGGGGCATTTATGCAAATACCCTTAATGATAATGGACATCACGAGGTTTAATAATGATATTTGAGCTTGCTGAGAGCACGCAGAGTGCAAGGAAATGTGTATTTTACTGGTGAGATGGCTGGGAGAGAACATGGAAATGGTTTTTGGGGAGGGGAGGAGCATGGCAAGGAGAGTGCAAAACACAAAATAAACCCAAATGTGGGGAGGAAACCAAACCCAAAGGAACCCAAAGGAACCCAAAGGAACCCAAAGGAACCCAAAGGTGGGGGAGGTGATGGAGGGGGGTGTGCCAGCCCCTGCTGCCCCCCGAGCCCCCCGACTCACCCATGCTGGCGATGATGCTGTGCACGGGCAGCCGGGAGGGGCCATCATAGCTGCCCGCAAAGCCCTTCTTCTTCTGCTTCTCCTCCTGCTTGAAGATGAAGGCAGAGTTCTCCTCCTTGGTGATGTTGATGTAGAAGCAGGTGTCCGAGGCTGCCATGATGTGCCTGGGGCCGGGGTTCAGCAGGATGCTCTTGTTCTCTTCCCTGCGGATCCCGATCAGGCAGACACCATACCTGGGGGGGAAGGAGCAGGGGCTGGGCATTCCCAGCTGGGGAAAATCCCCTCCTGGCACAGACATCTTTTATGGAAAATCCTTTCCCTAGGATTTTTCCTCCTGAGAAGCTGAGAGGCCTCAGGAACAAAATGTAAACAGTGATTGTCTGCTGCTGTGGAATGCAACAGGTGCATCTGTGATTGGTCTCATGTGGTTGTTTGTAATTAATGGCCAATCACAGTGAGCTGGCTCAGACTCTCTGTCCAACACAAGAGCCTTTGTTATCATTCCTTCTTTTTCTATTCTTAGCTGGCCTTCTGATTAAATCCTTTCTTCTATTCTTCTATTTAATATTTTATTATATATATTATATTAAAACTAATATAATATATAAAATAAAATATATTTTAATATATTTTTACATTAAAAATATATTAAAATATATTTTATGGCATATATTATATATCTTAATATATAATAGATATAATTTTATATATATATTAAAATTTCGGTCTATAATATATTTTATGTTTTAATAAAAATATTTTAATATAATATATATAATTTTAATATAATATAATATATATCATAAAATAATAAATCAAGCCTTCTGAAACATGGAGTCAGATCCTCATCTCTTCCCTCATCCCCAGACCCCTGTGAACACGGTCACACCCTCCTGTGGGGCGAGCAGGGCTGGGCATTCCCAGCTGGGGAAAATCCCCTCAAAGAACCCCGCAGCAGCCCCAGCCCTGCCCCCAGGCGTGCAGACAGACAAATCCCCCTGCCCAGAGCCCCCTGCCCTCACTTCTTGTGCGCGTGGAAGGCGGCGTAGGTGAAGCTCTTGCCCTCGTACTCCATGAAGAACTTGCTGTCCCCCATGCGGATGTGATAGACCTCATTGCCCGAGCAGCGCCCGTACATCCTCTGCCACTGCTCCGGAGACTCCTGGCCCTCCCTGCAAGGGCAGCACCAGCGTCAGTGGGGACCCCGGGGCTGGGATGGGATTCCCAGGGGTGGGATGGTACCCCTGGAGTTGGGATGGTACCCCTGGAGTTGGGATGGGAACCCTGGAGCTAAGATGGATGCCCAGGAGAGAGATGGGACTCCCAGGGGTGAGATGGGGTACTGGAGCTGGGATGGGACCCACAGGGGTGGGAAGGGACCCCCTGGTTCTGTGATAGCCCCCTGGAGTTGGGATGGGAACCCTGGAGCTGAGATGGATGCCCAGGAGAGAGATGGGACTCCCAGGGGTGAGATGGGGTACTGGAGCTGGGATGGGACCCCCAAGGCTGGGATGGGACCTCTGGAGTTGTGACAGCTCCCTGGAGCTGGGATGGGACCCCTGGAGCTGGGATGGGACCCCCAGGGGTGGGATAGGACCCTCAGGGCTGGAATGGCACCCTCAAGGGTGAGCTGAGACACCAGGAGCTGTGATAGACCCCTGGAGCTGGGATGGGACCCCTGGTTCTAGCACAGGTCCCAGGGCAGAGCACCAACAGCCTCTGGAGCTGTCCCTGAGCCGGCAGCAGGAAGGTGACAGTGACACATGGCCACGGGCTGCTGGTGCTCTCCCAGCATGAGCTCGTTCTCACTTTGGGCTCTAAGTGCCTTTTTATTTAACAGGGCTCCTGCAGAGTGCAGGGGGAGGTGCAGAGCCCGTGTTGGCAAACAGCCCCGAGCACGGGCCAGAGGCATCTGGCAGGGATGTTTCATAACTGATTTCATGGCACTTTACCCAAAATTCAGACATTTCTGATGGTCAAGGAGTGCAGGGCACACAGCCCTGCTCTCCTGTGCTGGCAGAGCTCCTTGCAGCCATGCTGGATATAAACCCACCAAAAAACCCTGCAGGGGCTGGGGCTGCTTGTGCTGTGAATTCACCTTCCTGCCAGCAGCACCGTGCCAATACAAAGATAATTTTACCTCCAGCCTCTGCAAAGCTGGCATTGCCCAGCCCAGCTGCACTGGTGAGGTCCCCTTACAAAATGGGATTTTGTTTTTAGCCTAGAGGGGGACCCCAGACCCCAGTGTGCTCCCCAGAACCATCTCAAACCCCTCTGTGCTCCCCAGAACCATCCCAGAGCCCTCTCCCCTGAGCTCAGAGGCCTCAGTTCTGCCACCCTCCAGGCTCAGGCAGGGGTAGGGGAGGGCAGGGACAGGCAGGGACAGCAAGGGACAGGCAGGGACAGGCGGGGACAGGCGGGGACAGCACTCACTGGCCACGGGAGGTGTGCACCAGCAGCGTGATGAGGGTGGAGGTGGCAGGGCAGACACAGTTCAGGGCCAGCATGGCGTATTTGCACTCCTCCTCACACACAACGTGATCTGAAAGGCAGAGGGGACCATCAGGGAGGGGAGGGGGACAGGGCCTGGCAATGGGGTCATTTTGGGGTGGTGCTGGGCACTGGGTGTTCCCTCCTGCCAGTCCAGGAGGGCTCTCAGCTGACCAACAGCTGCTGTGCAGCTTCTCCAACTCACCTGCAAACTTGACATGGAATTTATTTTCTGGCTTTAAGATCTGAACATAGAGAGGACAGTTTGGAGCAAAGTCTTTGACAGCCCAGGCCCTCAGGATGGTCTGGTGGTCCTGGACAGGGACAAGAGCAACAAGAGCTGCTTGGCTGATGGTTTCTTGGTTGATGGTTTCTTGGTTGCTGGTTTTTTGGTTGCTGGTTTCTTTTCCCCAAGGCTTCTACACCTGGGATGAGCTGCAAAGCACCCAGCCACCCTGGAGATGTACAGCAAGGGCTCCTCCTGCCCCTGGTGCTCCCTGAACCCAGCACCCAGCAGGAGGAAGGTGAGCCCACAGGGCTCAGTGTGCTGTGCAGGTCTCTGTGCCATCCCCAAGGTTCCCCTTGGCACTCAGCCCCTTCCCAGCACCCTCCTTTTTGCCAGGCACAGGTGACACCAACACCACCCCAGTCCCTTCTGCCCAAAAAATGCCCCATGCCCAGCCCTGGCTGGACTCACAGCTGCTGTTCTGTCCACCTCGTTCCGGCTGCTGAGGATGAAGCAAGCTTCTCCATTGTCCATCCTGCCAGGAGAGAGCAGAGACCCCATGAGCTGCACTGCCCACCCCACCAGGCCCTGCTGGCACAAAAATATTTGATGAAAAATCCTCCTGAGAAGCTCTGGGAAGCTTCAGCTTCTCCACATTTTGCTGCTTCGGAATGTGATTTGGAGAATTGTTTACCCAGCATGTGAAATCATTTTTGCTCGATGACCAATGACAGCCACTTGTGTCGAGGCTGTGAGCAGCCACAAGATTTTATTATCATTCCATTCCTTTCCTTGCTGGCCTTCTGATGAAATCCTTTCTTCTATTCTTTAGTATAGTTTTAATATATCATTTTCTTTTAATACATACAATACAATATATATCATAAAATAATAAATCAGTCTTCTGAAACATAAAATCAAGATTCTCCTCTCTTCCCTCATCCTGGGACCCCTGTGAGCACCACCACACCCTGCCAGCCCCCAGAGCCAGCACAGGCTGGGGTGGCACTGGCGTCACTGGGGTGTGCAGGGTGTCCTGTGGAAGTTTACAGGCAGCCCTAACATGGCAAAAGATGAGAATCTTGACTCCACGTATCAGAACGCTGATTTGTTATTTTATGATATATATTATATTAAAACTATAGTTAAAGAGAAGAAGAAAGGATTTCATCAGAAGGCTTGAAAGGAAAGGAAGGAATGGAACGATAAAAAAAGCTGCTGACCCTCAGAGGGTCTGAGCCAGCTCACTGTGACTGGCCATTAATTAGAAACAACCACAATTAATTAGATGCACCCATTGCATTCCACAGCAGCAGATAACCATTGTTTACATTTTGTTTTTGAGGCCTCTCAGCTTCTCAGGAGGAAAAACCCTGGCAAAGGGATTTTTCGGGAAATATCATGGCTACAACAGTGTCCCTCTGCTCACTTGGCTCTCATCAGGTCCTGGTCCTTGAGGGCAGAGCCCTGGAGGTAGATGACCCTCTGGGACCACAGGGGGATCTGCAGCACGCGCCGCACCTGGATGTCCATCTCCGTGGGGCACAGGATCACCACGTAGTAATCCTGCAGGAGAGAGGCCACGGCTACAGGAACCTCCTCCAGCCACCTCTAATCAGCTCTCGGAGGTCTGTAACACACTCAGGATAGCTCAGCTACCTTTGGAAGCACAAAAATCAGCAGGATGGCTTCTGTGGCAGCGTTAGAAGCAAAAAGGTTTAATAAAAGGCAAAGTAACAAACAGAAAAACCAAGCCAAGTGTTGGACATTCTCGCTCCTGGCAAAACACTTTACAAAAACAGAGGTTTTTAGAATGGAGGTTGTGGGGACAAGGAATCTGAGCATGTCCAGCCTTTCTCCTCCTTCTTCTTGGCCTCCATCTTCTGCTGTGATGGTGGCACTTTTAGATTGGTTTAGAGCAGAAGCTCACTGTCTAACACAGGTGATAGGTGTTGGAAATTACTGTAAATATTGTACATGTAGTTTTAGATTGGTTTAGAGTAGAAGCTCAGGGTCTAACATAGGTGATAGGTATTGGAAAGTAATTGTAAATATTGTACAGGTAGTTTTTAGTATAAAAAGATAACACTGCCCTGGGGAGGCAGAGTGCCTCTGACTGCCCTGCTGAGTGGACCTTGACAGGCCAAGAGAAATAATTTATAGATAAGATACAATAAACAACCTTGAGACTAAGAAATGAAGAGCCTTGACTGCTTCTTTGACCGCCAGGCTGGGAAAAGAGACTTTCTAACCCCTTGGGGTCACTCTGACCAGCAAAGACCCCAAGAGTATCCTATGGGGAGAGTGTGAGCCCGGCCCGGGGCTCACCTGCAGGCGAGGGTGGGCGTAGAACTCGTTGAGGAAGTCCATGAGGAGGTCGATCTTGAGGGAGCTGACGCACAGCACCACGTGCTTCTCGGTCTGCGCGCGGTGCCGGCTGTAGTTGCCCCCCGACTTCTGCCGCTCCATCCACAGGTACACCAGCTCCTCGAACTGCAGGGGGCACGGAGCTGGTGTCCCCAGGGCAGGGCTGGCAGCCCCTCCGCGCCCCCAGGCTGTGCAGGTCTCACCTGGAGAGGCAGCACCACCAGGGCCACGCAGATCATGATCACCACGAGCAGCTGGGAAGGCCAAATCTTTGGTGTCACGTCTCCGTAGCCCACGGTGGAAAAGGTGACGATGCAGAAATAGAAGGACTTGAAGAGGGAGAGCTTCTCACCTGCTCTTTCCAAGTGCTGGATGCCGCAGGTCCTGGAAGGGAAAAGCCTGGTCACGGCAGGGAGATCCCCACACACCTGCAGCTCAAAGCCATCCTGATGGACCCAAGTGTCACCCAAATCTTGCTGGGCCCAAATTGTACCTTCCCTCCTCCAAACTCATCCAGCAGCAGGGCTGGGAGCACCACTGAGCTCTGAAATAGCATTAGTCACCCACATCAGAGCATTGTCTTTATTGCCAAAAGCTCATGAGCCTAAAAGCCTCATTTCCCCTCCATTCAGCAACTTAATGGTTTAATATGCCTCCAACCCAGAGCAAGGCAGCCAGAGGAGAATTCAAAGTCTAATTCAGAGCTAAATAGCCAGTGATGAGCTCTGCTCCCCTGCCCAAAGGAACACCCTGGATGCTGGCAATGGCAGGGAAAGGGCCCAGTTAATTAGCAGGAGCCCCAGTGGCCAATTACACAAATGACCTGAGGAGCTGTGAGGTGTGGGGGAGGAAGAGCTTGGCTGGAGCCTGGGAGTGAGATGGGTTCTGGTGAATGAACCATCCCTGGTGCATGAGCCATCCCTCACCTGTCCCTGGGGGAAGCTGCTGCCCCTGCCCTCGTGTCCACATCCCCCAGCTGCCTCTGGCTGCACCCTCACTAAAGACTCCCTGATCAAACCCTAGAACAAGGCAGGATCAGAAGTTTGGCTTAAAAACCCCCTCAGAGTGCTGGAGATGGAGCAAAGCAGGGGAAGGTGTGAGCCCTGCAAGAGCCCAGCTCTGCCAGCTGCCCCAGGTGGGCACAGCTGGATTCCCAGGGTGGGCACAGCTGGATTCCCAGGGTGGGCACAGCTGGATTCCTGGTGGGTGAGCACAGCTGGATTCCCAGGGTGGGCACAGCTGGATTCCCAGGGTGGGCACAGCTGGATTCCTGGTGGGTACAGCTGGATTCCCAGAGTCAGGAGGGGGTTTAGGGAAATGGAGAGCAGCACTCACCCCGTGAAAACGAGACACAGGAGGGTGCAGATGAGGATGAGCACCTGGTTGAACATGGCCGACTGTGTCCTTTGGATGGCTCGGTGCAGATCGTTCTGGGGAGACAGGGGAGGGCTCCCAGCAGCTCACACAGCCTGGGGGCACCAACTGTTGCCTTGCTGGCTCCCACAGTGCCCTTCCCAGTGAAGGGCAATTCCCTGGATTTAGCCCTTGGGAAGGGATGTCTATTCCCATCAGCAGGGCTGGGATCTGAGAACTCCAGTGGGAACAGGGGAATGGGTGGAACACCTCACCCCAACCACCCCTGTCACTGTGGTTTGGATTCTGAGGGGTTCCTGGTCACAGCCTGGTACTCCCAGCATGGCATTCCCTGCCTGGCATTCCCTGCCTGGCATGCCCTGGCACACACCAAGCTCCAAATCCTGTCCCAGAGCCGGGGCAGCCAAGGGTCCCCTCCCAGCCCTACTGCCCTCCACATCCCCAAGGAGCTGGACACAAGGGATCACTCACAATCATGTTCTCCAGGGCGTACTTGGCCAGCCAGCAGTTCAGAAACACAGGAATGAACAAATTCCGCAAAGGAGGCCAGAATATCTACAAAAACAAGGGTTATTTGCAGAAATAATCCACATTCTTTTAAAAAATAGAGCCATAAGCAGCCAATCCTCCCTGTGTGGAAGGATCCAAACCCAAGCTGAGCAGGAGCTGCCACCAAACAGGGCCCTGCTTCCCTGGCTGCAGCAGAGCAGCTGGAAAGGGAGGATGGGGTTTGGGATAACACTCCAGAGAAAATCATTATATTGTCAAATATTGAAGGGAAAATTTCCTGCCAGCCTTAAAAACCACTAGGCCAGACACCCATTTGTCTTTATTTTATCACCAAAATACAGCAATTACTGCACTTAGAGCTGCTTTAAATGCCACCAGGACACACTCACTGTGATGATGAATGGCACCGTGTTGATCATCTCCAGGATGAAGGAAATGCGAAAAATCTGCTCCCAGATGTTCCCCTGAGGAATTAAAACCCAAGAAGAATTAGATAACCTTAAAAACTTCCCAGAGGACAATTAAAGTGATCCCACCCTGCTGGATGAGGGAAATACGGTGCAGGAGAGGTGCAGTGGTGATGGCAGGCACTCTGGGAGCAGGAAACATTCCCAAACTCCTCAGTCCTCTCCACAGCCACTACATCTGTCTGTCTGTTTGTCTGTCTGTCATTGCTGCCACCCAGAGCTGGAGGACAACAACACTTTGTGCAGGGATGGAGAGTGACAGTGACACTGACAGTGACAGTGGCAGCTACAGATGGCTGGCACTGGGAGCAGGGGGTGATGCAGGGTCTGAGCCTCTGCTGCCAACCCTCCCCTGGTCCCTGAGAAGATGCCATTTGTCAAGGTCACTTTTTCTGGCCATTTCAGGTGGCTTTGGTCCAAAGGAGCCAGCTTGTGCCTCTCCTTGGAGCAGTGCCATTCCCTCATGAGGCAAGAGCAGGAGTGACCCTGCCAAGCTCGGGGAATCTGGGATGTGTCAGCCTGACACGAGGAACAGTGAGCCTGCATTAAACAGCCCTGAATCTCTGAGAAAGAACAAAAAGCAGAGATTCTGCTCTGCACACCCAGCAGCCCGAGGGGGAATGAGAAAGGAAAACATCCAGAGGTGGCAGACAAACATCCTGAATCCATTCCTGAGGAGGGCAGAGGAGGCTGAGCCCTCCGGCCCGGGCTCTCACCTTGTAGCTGAGATAGGTGAGCAGCATGGTCTCCAGGAAGCTGATGAGGGCGATGCTGACCTGCAGGGACACACACAGGGGGGCTCCAGGGCTCTCTCCAGGTGATGGGAGCCCCCCAAGCCCCCAAGGGTGGTGCCACAAGTGGGACAGAGCCCCCAGCCCAGCCCCTCTGGGCTCCTGCACACCCAGCAGGGGCTGCTCACCTGCACGGCCCACAGAGGGGTTTTCCTGTCCACCCAAAAGATGTGGGACCTGCAAAGAAACCCAGAGGGGATCTGAGCTCAGCTGTCAGGGTTTTCACCCCCTGAATGCAAACCTGAGGCCATCCCTGGCTCAGGAGCTGCTGCTCCCTCCTGCACAGTTTGCTCAGGCAGCCCCTGCCCTGGAATTCAGCCATTCCCAAGGGTGCACCCAAAGGATTTGGTTCTGGGATGCTGCTCCACATCCCCTGAGCAGCCCCAGGACCAAGAAACGGCCTCAGGGAAATGCCAGCAGAGCCACCTCCATCCCTGTGCTCCCCCAGGCTGGCAGAGCTGGCCCAGGGTCCTGAGCAGCTCCCACTCACCAGTTGATGTTGGTGGACTGGTTGAAGGCTGTGTAATTCTGCTTCTCACATTCCCAGCTGGGGAGAAAGAGCAGGGAAAAACAGTCAGGAGGGAACAGGGATGCTGGGATTGACCCCCAGGCAGCATTTCCATGGATCCAGACACCCTGACTCCTGTAGCCAGGGCTTTGCACAGGAAAAGCCTCACCCAGGCAGCCTTGGGCATCTCATTACTGGAGGACAAAACCCCTCAGGTGCTTCAGCCCTTCCAGAGATGCTGTGGACTGCTGATTCTCCCTGGCACAGAGCTGCAGGGAACCGGGAATTCCCAGGTCACAATCAGCACAATGTGCTGAGCTGCAGCCCCAGCTGAGCTCTGCCTGCCCTGCTGGGAGGGCTCTGCTCCCTCTGGCCAGCCTTGCTGCTGCCACACTCCCCCAGGAAAATGGGATTCCCTGAGCTGCAGCTGGGCTAAAGCTCTCAGGGATGAGCATCCGTGTCCTGCTTCACTCTCACAGGTCTGGAAGCACTTCCAGAATGTGCAGATGTGCTTGGCAGTCTGCAGCCTCTACAAGGGGGAAATCAAATCACCAATTATCCAAGCTCTTGGGGGAAAAAAATCACATTATATACGAGCTAAACGAAGCAAGGACACATTAAAAGTAGGCTTATACAGAAAGCCAGCACAAAGCTGATGTGTGGAATCATCCATCACCTCAAGCATCCACACAGCACACCGTATTTCCCTCTCAAGTGCTTCAATGGGATTTAGTGTTAATGTCTTCAAGCGCTTCAGCCTTCACAAAACATTTGCATGGTGCTGCCCTGGAGTGGCTGAGCTCCTGACAGAGTCAGGCAGAACTTGGAAATGAACATTTTTCCACCATGCTCTGCTCAGGGCCAGTAGATGCCCCCACACCCATCCACGGGGTGTGAGCAGGGGCCTCCAGCCTGGGAAATTTTGTTAAAGCCCCAATTCAAACAGCTGTGGGGGGGTGACAAACCCATCATGAGCCGTGGCACAGCCTCAGTGAGCCCTGGGGCAGCTGGGGCTGGGGGCAGCTGGGGCTGGGGGCTCTCTGGGTCTCTCACCAGCCGATGCCCTCCTCAGGGTTGTCCAGCAGCACGCGCACGATGTACAGCAGGCACGTCAGCAGCTTCAGAGAGAAGTTGAAGAGCCGGATCCTCAGGCCTGTGGGAGGGCAGCAGGGATGGGGCAGAGTTCCTGGGCATCCCCACAGACCCCAGAAAGCCCAGCAGCCCCCCAACAAAACCCCCAAACAAAAGAACCCCCCGAACCCCAAAGGGAGCTGCAGCAGCACTGCCCAGGTTTGTCCAGCAGTGCCACAGACACAGGAGACAACACAGAGATAAATAACCATGACTCAGCTCCTTGCTGACCCCAAAGATGTGAGAGAGACACAGGAGCTGCTGGAGCAGGCACCATCTAACAGCAGCAGAGCAGCACTGACCACATCACCTTGCAGGAGAGCAGGGGTGGTGAGGAAAAGCTGCTGCTTCATCCACTCTGCCTCCCCAGCCAGTTCATGGGGTTATTACTCAGATTACAAGTGAGAAATCCATCACATTTTCATTAAAAACTTCCCCGTGGGCACCCTGGTGTACAGCTTTTCAGCAAGACAACAGGATGCAGGCGGGAGAAGAAAAGGCAAATTTATAAATGAACCAGCAGGCCCCCTCCAGACAGCTAATGACATCTCGGAGGAAGAAAATAAAAACACCATTAGTCAAGTGGAGACTAATCCCCATGGCTGGAGCAGGAGAGGGAAACTCACAGCCTGCCCTGGCTGTCCCCAGAGCCCCAGGGAGGCACAGCCAGGATCCCCATGGGGACACTGGCTCCCTGATGGGGACATTGGCTCCCTGATGGGGACATTGGCTCCCTGACATCCCCCTACCCCCAGCCAGCTGTTTGTCACATTGTGGCTGTCCCCAGCAAGCAGAGGTGATGGAATGTCACAGACATCTTTTATGAAAAATCCTTTCCTTGAGATTTTTCCTCCTGAGAAGCTGAGAGGCCTCAAAAACAAAAAGTAAGCAATTATTATTTGCTGCTGTGGAATGCAACAAATAAATCTGTGATTGGTCTCATGCAGTTTTTTTCTAATTAATGGCCAATCACACTTAGCTGGCTCGGACTCTCTGTCCGAGACATCAGCCTTTGTTATCACTCTTTCTTTTCCTATTCTTAGCTAGCCTTCTGATAAAATCCTTTCTTCTACTGTTTTAGCATAGTTTTAATATAATATATATGATATATTATAAATATATTATATATAATATATTAAATTATATATGTTATATATAATATATTAAATTATATATAAATATATATTATATAAATATATTATATTATTATATATTAAATATAATAAATCAAGCCTTCTGAAACATGGAGTCAGATCCTCGTCTCTTCCCTCACCCTCGGACCCCAGTGAACACGGACACAGGGAGGGAGAGGCATCCTCTCCTCCCCATGGAAAGCATCCCCAAACCGAGCTGACAGCAGCAGCAAAGGGGCAGGAGGCAGCAGCATCCCCGGGCAGGGGACACGCGGGGACAGGGCCACCAGCAGGTGGCAATGGCTCCTCATGGCCGGGAGCAGCGCGGCTGTCCCGGCCCGGGCAGGGCTCGGCTCCCGCTCCCCGTGCCCGCAGCACTCACTCGATCGCTGGTTTTTGATGAAGAAGAGCTTCAGCCGCTCCTTGAAGGTGTTTTCATTCACGTAGAACTCGACCTGCACCCTGCGGGGAGAGCCCCCGGCGGGGCCGTCAGTGGGGTGGGTGGGCAGGACCCCCAGAGCCCCCCTGTGCCCCATCCCCGCTGGGTGACCCCGCTGACACCCCACAGTGACCCAGGCTCGGGCTGGGCTCCCGGCTGTCCCCACCGTCCCAAACCAGCCAGGAGCCCCAGGGACCCCAGAGCAGCCGATGTGACCCCAGGGCCAGCTCTGCTGGGCACCCAGGCTTGGCTGTGGCTCACACACACCCAGAGAGCCGAGCCACAAACTTCTCCCTTCACACAACTTCAGAACGTCCAAAACCTCCCAAAGAGCAGCTCTGGAGCTGCCTCTCCCCGTTTATCTGCTCCAGCAGAGCAGGAGCTGGAGAGAACAATGCCCCCAATGTCGCCAGTGTGTCCTGGCTCTGTCCATGCCCTGCTCTGCCTGGGGAGGAGAAACACCCAGCATGGAAACTGCAAAAAAAAACCCAATTCCGCTGTAAACAGAGAAAATTTCCCTTTGTTGCTAAGATACCACTCTTGGTCATTCCAGAAAAACCCAGGGGCTGACAACCAGCTCCAAACTCCACCCAGGGCCACTGGCAGGGCAGAGCATCACCCGCCAGGGCACTGACAGCATCCGGCAGGGAGGAGCAGCAGGTGGGGCTGGAAATTACCATCCCACCTTCCTTGGCTTCTCCTGCCTCCCCTCGGCCAGCCCCACATCCCAGGGATGGGACAAAACTCCCCGGGGCTGGATGGGGGCCACTGCAGGCTCTGGGATGTAGGTGCCAGCTCCGACCACATCCTGATTTACTGGGGATGGAGGGATGAATGTTTACCAAACATCCATGCCCAGATGATCAGGAATCAAATTGAGAAGGGGTTTTACAAGATCTCCATCCCAGCTGGGCTAAGGGGAGGGGAGGTGGCCAGAGGGGCTCTGCACCACACTTGGTTCTGTCACCACGAGAAGGGACAGCCCCAGAGAGAACAGGAGAATTTATAAGCACAAGGCTTGAGGAGCAAGCAGCCTCAATGCAGAGCGTCAGAGCCCAGCCTTTACACCTGCTCAAATTAATCCTTCCCAGAGCCAGACGCCGCAAATCATTTTTCTGTGCCAGGGCATAAATCAGCTGTCACAACTGCTCACAGTGCTGCACACGAGATAATTGCTCCTTCTCCTTATTAAAAATGGCCAGGAAGTGCTGGGAGCTGGCTTTCAGCTCCCTGAGCACCCCATTCATCAGAGCCCCCGAGGATTGAGAGCCTTGAGGAGCCGCAGACTCCAGGAGCACGATTCCTCTGCCAGACACTTGTCTGGGATCAAAGCAACAAACAGCTGAATAAATCTCTGCCATCAGACAGATGGTTCACTGATCTGTGGAGCTGTGGCCCACCTCGAGACAATGGCTGTAATTGCTGGTGGATAAAAGCACTAAATGATGAGATCTATCTCTCTGTGATAAAGTGGCCCACGTATTCATCCATCCCATGGCTGCAGGAGGAAGGAACACTGGGAAAACAACAAAGCAACAAAAAGCCATGTCTTGACTGGGGGGAACAGGGTGTTTAACACTGCAGAGAGATGAGGAAATAAAAGAATGTGGAGGGAACACGTTCCTGTGCAGGCAACCTGCCAAGGCTGAGCCCCAGATCTTTGTGGGGGCCCCACTCTGCAGGTGAATCCAACACCCCAACACTGAATGAAGGATGGCTCTTCCCAGGCAGCAGCACCATCCCAAAGTATCAAAGCTCCTACTCCATTTCCAGCTGAGGGAAGGAGATGATCTCATGTAAAACATACCCTTTAATTTCATTGTCAGGAAGTTAACTGGGAGTGAGAATCAAGCAAAACTCTGACTGCATCATCACCACCCCAAAACACACCGTGACAGCTCTGCCTTCACAGCAGCTCAGCCAGGATGGGGTGCTCAGAGTGTCCGCTCCCTGCTGCCATGGCTGGGCATCCTTCCCACCTCGAGCATCCTTTTCCTACCTGGAGCATCCTTCCCACCTCGAGCATCCTTTTCCCACCTGGAGCATCCTTTTCCCACCTGGAGCATCCTTTTCCCACCTGGAGCATCCTTTTCCCACCTGGTGCCACCCCATCCCAGACCACTCCAAGGGTCCCCACCTCCACAGTTCCCCCACTGAATCCCCCCAGGCCATGCAAACAACGATTTTGGTACAAGTTTAGTTCCAGCCCTCTTTTGGAAGTGTAATTACTGCTATTATGCTCTTCATAATGCCTGAGCGACTTCGTTTTCTTCGCTCGGTTATTTATTGTACTTTATTAATCCAAGATTAGAGGCAATTTGTTGTAAGATGATGAGTTCCCAAAAAAAGACACAATAGTTTGTTCAAAAAAGTGCAGGATGAAAGGGCAGGAGGAGCACATCACAGCCCACCAGCGTTAAAATAGACACTGAGGGGCACAGCCCCTGCTCCAGCCTTTCCATTTCCCCAGAGCTGGGGCAGCTCTCTTAAACATGAGGAAAACACAAAAAATTTTAACCCATAGAGGGATTTCTTGTCCCAGGAAGCTTCTCAAGGAATTTCTCCCATCATGTAGCAGGATGCAAACAAGATTCTTCTGAATTTTTTTGGTGGGGGGGAAGTACGTAACAAACCAGCAAAACCCCAGAAATCTCCAATCTGGTGGGTGCCAGCAGACCCCACTTCACCCCTCCAGTCCAGCTCAGCTGACAGCTCTGCACCCTCCATGCAAACCCACAGGGATCAAACAGACAGAAAATGTGGCTGCACCACGCTGGAATTACAGAAATGTGCTGCTGGCCCAGCTGGGCTCCCTGGGGCAGGCTCTGGGTACCAGACACGGCTCAGAGGAAGGAGAGGAGCAGGGCTGGCGGTGCAGGTCTGCAGCATTTCCTCTCCCAGCAGCCCCAGGAGGCTGTGCAGGATGCTCTGAGGGCACCGTGCCATGGCCAGGCTGCCTCAGCGCCGGGAGCAGCCGGTGCCAGCTGGAACCTGAGCAGAGCCAGAATCCTTCCCAAATAAAGCTCAGAACCTGCCAGGCTGGGGCTCAGGTACCTGCTGATGAAATTCCCAGGCAGCTCCAGCCCTCCTGATTCCCTTTGGGGTGGTTTTCCTTTTTCCCCCCCATTTCTGTGATGGTGTTTGGACACAGAGGCTTCACCAGATGGATGCCGCGGGGTGAGCTGTGTGCCCTGTGTTTGCCATCCTCCATTCATTCCGGGTGGACATCCAACCTGGGACAGCTCCAGCCCTGCCCAGGAGAGCTCCCAGAGCAGGGTTTGGGGACAGGAGTGGGAATTGCTGAGCAGCTGTGTGCTCACAGACAGCCTGGGCGCCTGCCAAAGGCAGCACCGGCAGCGCAGCGCTGCCCCCGCTGTAATTGAACAATTACTCAAAGGAGGAGGAACGGCTTCAAACCCGGGCAGGGATGGCTCCAGGGGCTTCTCCTGCCACACCAGGTCCTTCCTGGGCTGGGGGATGCTTGGGCTCACCCTCCTGGCAGGATGGAGCCCTGCCCAGGGCTCTGCAGACGGGGATGTGTCGGATTCTCAGGGACCACAGAGCACCCGGAGCGCTCCCACTGCGGCAGCTCCTCCCGGGAATCTGGGGCACATTTTAAACAAAACAGCTCAAAACAGCCTGGGAGGGATGGAGCTGGGGCTGGCTGTGCCTGCTTTGGGGCTGAGCCCCTCTGCCAATGCTGCTGATGGAGGGAGGGAAGGGGAGAGGGGGATCTCTCACAGAGGGATCTCAGGTGCTGAGGGAGGGACGAGACAGCACTGGGGACACCACAGGCAGGGCCAGCATGGTCCAACAGGCTAAGCATTGCAAACAGGCCAAATCTGCCCACTTTCAGTGAATTTTCTCATCTCACATCCCTCAGTAGGTGCAGCACTGAAGTTGCTCTCCCTCTCATCCCAGAAGCCCAGGTGACCCTCAGGGATCACAGCAGCACCCAGCCCCGAGGAGCTCTGCAGGCCCCACACCAGCCTGGCACAGGCAGTGTCACATCCAGCACGGCACAGCCACCATGCCACCATCACAGCCACAACTACGCCACCATCACAGCCACTGTGGCACTGTCAGAGCCACCACAGCACTGTCACACTGTCACAGCCACCATGGCATTGTCAGAATCACTGTGGTATTACCACAGTCATTGTGGCACTGTCACAGCCACCATGTCACCATCACAGCCACCATGGCACTGTCAGAGTCACCATGATGCCACCACAATCTGTCACCATCACAGCCACCGTGGCACTGCCACAACCCTGCCAGGAAAGGGAGCTGCTCCTTCTGGCCCCTGAAGCCCCAGGAATGATTTCCCTACCAAGGCTCATCCCAGACCAGCAGGATCCACTCCCACATCAGCAAACACTGCCAGGGATGCTGTGGTACATCCTGCCCCTCAAGCCCAAGGACTCGTTTCTTCAAGGCTTCATGCATTTACCATGGGAATCAATGAGAAAAAACCCTCTTGCTTTATTATGGAGTGTGATTTTTTTGCCCAAAGAAAGAATTGATATTGCCAAGCACTCTGCAGCAAATTAAACCCAGCTGGGTGCAGGTAATGTCATCCTGGCTCCAGCAGTAATGCTGCAGTTGTGTTTCTGGGGGATGAAAAGCAAATTCCAAGCAGTCACTACAGGGAAAAACACTGCCCAAGAGTAGGCTTGGCCTCCAAGGCCATTTATCTCTCACCATGCCCTAAACTCATCCTGGTGTGCCAGGGGGACAAGGGCTGGCACGGACTGCAAAGGGCACCAAGGGCCTGAGGAAAGGTAACAGAAATTTCCTGCTTGACTTTTAGTTCTTTTATACATATATATAATTTTTATTAGGGAGGACATTGCAATGGAAATGGGATTTTTATCGATTCCTCGTTCCCTGAAGGCAGCTGTAATCCCTCCCAGCAGCTGCAAAGCTCATTTCCAGGCACCAAACCAAACACTGGAGGAAACAGGCACACACTCAGGGCTTCAAGCTGTAGATAATAAAATACTTTGGGCTGGAGGGACCTTAAAGTTCATCCTGTTCCATCCCCTACCTTGAGCAGGGACACCTTCCATTGTCCAAACCCTGTCCAACCTGGCCTTGGGCACATCCAGAACGGGGCAGCCTCTCCCATCCAAGGTTTGGATGGTGCTCATGGCTGGGCAGGGGCACCACTTGCTCCAAAATAAGATAATTACACTTCTACTAAAGGTTAAAACCCCAAAGGAAAGAAGCAATGGGATGGCAGGCTGTGCTCCCTCTGGCCTGTTTGTTCTGCAACATTGGAGAGCAACACTCATGAGTCTGCTCCTGTAATTGCTTGTGCTGATGAATCTGCATTGTTTAATTAGGGCTGTGCATGGAGCTCATCGTTAATGGATAATTGCTGATTTGCTGCTCTCAATTCCTGCTCAATAAACTTATTCTTATTATCTTTTCTTTTAGTTACTGTTAATGATATTTTCTTTATACTCTTTTCAAGTTTTGAGCCTGCTTTGCCATACTCCCAATCCCATCCCACAGCAGGAAATGAGTCAATAAATTCCAGGTAGTGCACTGGTGTTGGACCAGCTCTAGATCCACCACAACTGGGAATCCTCCCCAGGATGGGATTTGCTGAAGGATTTGCTGCTCCCATCACAATTCCTGGATGCCCAGAGCAGTAAAGGACAAATCTTGTGTTTATCAGCTCCCTTAAAAGCAGGATCATGGTGGAACCACAGGCTGCGTGGGGTTGGAAAGGCCCTTTAAAGGTCACCTGGTCCCAGCTATGGGCAGGGACAATTCTACTGGACCAAAAACCAATTCCACTAGAGCAGAAACCAAACCCCATCCCTCGTGGCCTGGAACTCTTCCATGGATGGACCATCCACCTTAATCCACATTAATTAGAGCCAAGGTTAAGCACAGCTCCCAGCAGCAGGCACTGCCCAACACCCAGCTCCAAACACCCCAAATTCCAAAGGGGGCTTTGCCCTGAGGAGAGCAGGATCAGCTTCACCTCAGGGCAGGCCAGGGTCCCCTGTCCCTCCCCGTGGCACCGGGCAATGCAGGCAGAGAACTTACTGTGAGAAGGAGGAATCCACGCTGAAATCCTCGGCGTGAGGCCTAAGAGCGAGAGCAGCACACACAGCGTGAGGGAACCCAGCCCCAAACTGTCCCAGCAGGGCTGTGCCACCAGGGATGTGACACTGGCAATGTCCCACTGGCAATGTCCCACACCAGGGCTGTCCCCACCGGCAGTGCCAGCACCAAAGGGACCAGCGCCCACCAAGTTCTCAGCCACGGTCACACCATGCCTGGGACACGTCCCAGTGCTGCTGTGCCAATCACAGCCCCTCAAGGGCTCTGTGGATAATCCCAGGTTCTGGGCCTGTTTTATGCCTTTTGTTTTTTAAGGGGTTCTCACAAACGGCCTCACTGCTCTGCCTCTGATGGGGCCACTCCTGTGCACAGAAATTGGGATTTGCAGGTTTGGTGCCCTCAGGAATCAGCATTGTGCCTCTGCTGGGCTGCTCCACAGACACCAGTGATGAGCAGAGAAAGGGAAAGAAAACAGTAAAAAATAAACCAAAACTCAAATCAAATAACAGAGGAACGATGAGGGGGATGAGGGGGTCAAGGCAAGGGGAGGAAGAACACAGAGAAAAACAAGAGTGGGTGGGAGGCAAAGGGCCTGTGCTTATGTACTGTACATCCCACAGACAGACAGACAGACTAACAGCACAGGGCTGTCCAACACAGCAATTCCAGCTGCAAAGCAAAAAATCTCCTTGTGAAAATGATGCTGTCACCACAACACCCAGGGATGGCCCTGGCTCCCCATCTTTAACTGATCCTGAGCCCTTCCCTGCTCCAGCAGGGCCCTCCCTCCTTCCCTGATTTACTGTGAGCCAGGGACACCAAGAAATATCATCACAGCCAAGGGGCCACTGCAGCCCATAAAGATTTTCTTGCATTTTGCTTTTGCTTTACAAGTCTGCAGTGCTCCGGCACAGTTCAAACTAAATAAAAGCAATAAATTCACATTTCAGCAGGAATGCGAGCCAGGAGGAAGCTGATCCATCCTCAGCTACAAGGAGCAGCCTCCCTGGGACAGGATTTGTTTTGCTCCCACTGCTGGGCTCTGCTCTGTGCAGGAGCTCATTGCTCCTTCCTCCATCCCAGGTTGCTCCAAGCCCGTCCAACCTGGCCATAGACATTCCCAGGGATGGAGCACACTGTGCCACCCTCACAGGGAAGGATTTCTGCCCAATATTTCATCTAGCCCTGCTTTTCCAGTGTGAAGCCATTCTCCCTTGTCCTGTCACTCCCGGCCCTCATCCAAAGTCCTTCTCCAGCTCTTTTGGAGCCCCTTTTGCTGGAGGCTGCTGTAGGATCTCCCCAGAGCCTTTTCTTCTCTGAGCTCAGCTCCTGCCATTTCCCCTCCTCCCTGCTCGTTTCCAGCTTCCTCCTGGAGCATTTATTCCCACCAAAGTGCTCTCTTGTGGCACCTCTGCCAGCAGGATCGAGCCCTGGGGTGGCTCTGCAGCTGAGCTGTGCCTTGGAGCAGCCCTGGCATTTATTTCTGCCCAGCACCTTGGGTTTGTGCAGCTGGGAAGGAGCCTGGGCTGGCACTGTCCCTGCAGCTCAACTGGATTATCCCTGTTAGAACAGGGGCTGCTCGGGCCCCTCCTGCCCCTGCTTTGGAGCAGGGGCCTTTCCTGCCTCACAGGGATCTTTATGGGGAAAAAATCAGCAAATGATTTGGTTTTCTCCTCATGTGGTGCCAGCTGGTAGCCGGGAAAGGTGGGGGAACAGGAGCTAATTCCAGCTGCAGAGCAGCACTCCTGAAAGCAAAACACCAAAAAACCCACTCAGATCAGTGGGGTCCTGCAGGACACGAGGGTTCTGGAGAATTTGGGGTCTTCCCCCAAATCCATGGGCTCTGTGCCTGCCCCAGAATCAGCCACAATAAACACCTCACTCACATGGAGGCATCGCCAACAAAAGGGATTCCAAAATCATGGACAGAAATAAACCTCCCCAAGGGTGGCTTTGGCCACTCTGTGCCGTGGTTAAAGCATATGCAATAAAATAACATTTTTTTTGGTTACAAAAAGGTGCTTTGGCTCCCAAATGAGTAACTTTTGCTGTGCTGGTCACAGAGGGAAGAAGCGATTTGAGGTGTCCCACTGAAACCTCTCCCTCTCCCCACCAGGCACCCAAATTCTCACCAACTGCTGAGAAAATATGGAGATTTCTCCAAGAAAACCAAAAATCATTCCAAATCTCATCTGGAAAACAGCCATTTTCCAGATCCCAAAACCACTTTAACAGTGATTTATGACATAAAGAACCTAAGCCACTTAATGGAGTCAGAAAGGTTACTCTGGCTTTTAATGTGTTTTAGATAATCTACTTCAAATTGACCTTTTTATTTCATGCAGATCTGGCTCAGTGAGAGCAGACAGAGCTCAGCTCACTTCATTCCCATGGAAAACAGCAACAGCACAGGCAGCCAAAGGACCTTGGCTGTCCTGCAGGATCCAGGGGCTGGGAGAGCAGAGCTGTCCCCACACAGGGCAAGCTGAGGATGCCAAGCATCCCCACCATGCCAAGCTGGCACAAACTGCACCTCCCAGGCCCCAGAGCAGAGCAGGGAAGGGTGGCAGAAGGAGAGGAGCAGAGGGGGAAGGAACTCCTTGGCTGCTTCAGACCTGCCCCCACCTTTCAAGCTCCAGCCCCTGACAAAAGGGAAAGGCTCTGTTAGAAGGTGAGGAGACAAAGGCACATTTATTATTAGAACAAAGCCATAATAAAGCTGGCTTATGTAAAAGAGAGAGCAATCACCTACCCACCCATGCTGGAGGCTGAGCAGCACCTTCCACCTCATCCTACCTTCTCAGCTCTGGCTCCAGCAAAGGCAGGGACCCCTGAGCTGGGATCAGGGCTGTGCACAGCACCCCAAGAACTGGGCCAGCAGAACCAGCTCCCTTCTCTCCAGGGGGATGCAGCCAGCCCCAAGCCCCAGCTCTCCTGCAGGGTCTGGGTGGCATCGATCTCCTGTGCCTCATGCAGGTAACTGGGGGCTAAATGCTGTCCCTGTGCTCCAAGTGGGACAGAGGGACAGCTCAGCACAGCCCAGCTCACACAGGGACACACTGCTCCCTCCCAGCAAACTCTGCTCCTTCCACCGCTGTCTCCTGAATCTTTGGTAAATGAAGAGCATTAAAAATTCACTTCTGGTGGTGCATTTCCTATTCAATTTACAGCCATCCTTTCCAAGCAAACAAACAAAAACATTCATGCCTTGACTTGAAGCCTCTGCAAGTTACAGACACAAGTAATGACCTGCCAGCACTGCTGCTGCCTTCAGGCTGCTTTAATAACCACTTGCAAGGCTCAGAGGCATTTCCAGAGCGGGGTGGAAAGGTATTAAATGTGATGGCTTTCTGCCCTGGCTTTGGGAAGGATTTAATGCCTTTTCACCCTGCTCTGGAGATGCCTGGGGGGAAGGGTCAGGGCAGGGGGGTGAGGATGAGCCAAGCAAGGTGAGTGCCTGGGGAGGCTCCCCAGAGCAGAGCTCATCCTGCACCACAGCTCCTGCCATACTGACAGTGAGAAACTCAGCCCAAAATAGCCTGATGTGAGAGGGACAGATGGGAGGAGATGAAAAAAGAAAGTAAAGAGGGGGAGAGAAGGAACGAGCAGGAGGAAAGGGAAGGCGAGAGGAAGAGACACAGGTCTGCTCACAAAGCTGTGAGAGAGGGGAGGGAAGGGCAGCTCCACTGCTTGCTGTGGGATGAGCAGGGGTGGCCCCAGGGAAAGGGATTGAGCCTCAGCATTCCTGGTGTGGAGGAATTCATCCAGCACCTGGAAAACCCACCAGGAGCTGCAGAGGCGCCACAGGGACAGGCACCCAGAAGAAGAAGACAGGGCCAGAGCAGCCCCACAGGCAGAGAGAGTAGCAGGAGAGGGCTCAGCTGCCTCCCAGGGTGCTGCTGCTTCAATCACAGGAACACTTTTCCTTGGCATTCCCCTGCAAAAGGAAGTTCACATCTCCCAGCTCACACACACAAAGTTTGGGAAGCAGCGGGAGCGGTGCCAGAGCTGCAGCAGCCTCACTGCAGCTGGACAGGCTGATCCCAGCCCAGAGGCCAGTCTGGCCTGTGGCACCTTCCAGAGAGCTGGGCCTCTCCCAGAATCAGCCACAGATTCACTGAGGTGGGAAAGCTCCTCTGAGGTCATCAAATCCATCATCAAACCTCACTCCAGCAGTGCCAAGCCCAGCACTGAGCCATGACCCCACAGCCACACACCATTCAGATCCCTCCAGGCATGGGGGCTCCACCTGTGCCAGGGCTGGACAGCCCTTTTGGTAAGGAAATGTTGCCCCAAATCCAACCTAAATCTCCCCTGGTACAACTTGAGGCCATTTCCTCTGATCCCAGTGATTGTTTCTTGCAAGAAGAGACCGATCTCACCTGGCTACAGGTATATGGAGAGGGCAGGCACTGCCAAGCCTGGGCAAAAAGGCCCTGCAGATGCTCAGGCTGCCCTGACACAACTCCCTGCCCTTGCTAATGAGCTAAATGAGTCCCTGCTGTGGCTGATCCTCATGGGGGAAGGACTGTGGGCAAGTTTGGAGGTGGGATGTGAGACCCTGGTGCACCACGGACCCCCACCCAGAGGGGTGCCACCCTTACAGAAGGCAGGAAAGGCTCCCCTGAGGAAGAACGTGCCAATCCCCGTGCCCTGATGGGACCTGATGAGGATGAGGATCCCAAAATAACCAGAGCAGAAGCCCAAGTGCGAGTGCTGAGCGTGGCATCCTTGGGTGAGATCGTGGCTGCCTGTCAGGGCTATGTAGGGCACCGAGATCCTGGCAGCTCCCCAGGGCCGTGGGAGGGGAGCTCAGCCCTCCCAAAGCTCGGCCTGCTCCCCTAAACACCCAGCTCAGCCCTCCCAAAGCTCGGCCTGCTCCTTCAGCACCCAGCTCAGCCCTCCCAAAGCTCGGCCTGCTCCCCCAGAACCAGCTCAGCCCTCCCAAAGCTCGGCCTTCTGCCCCAGCACCCAAAGCTCGGCCTGCTCCCCCAGCACCCAGCTCAGGGCTGGCACTGCCCCGTGCCCACAGGGCAAACTCTTTATGGGTCTTCCCCTTTCAGGGTGAGCCTGGGCACACCACACACAGGAGCAGCCACGACACTTCCAAAAGCTGGAGGGAGCTCAGGGCTGTGCCTGGCTGGGACACGGCCATGCTGTCCCTGCAGAGGAGAGGCCACAAAGCCAAAGGGTGAGCAGAGCTCGGGGCCTTTCCAGCACTTTGGGGCAGCTCCAACAGCTCTGGGGCAGGAAAAGCAGCAGCCAGGCCTGATCCCTGACAGGAATGAGCTGTGCTGATGAAGGGGTTTGGGTGAGAGTGAGGGATGGCAGCTGTCACCAGGGCCTGGGATCGTGTCCTGATCACCAGGGCCCTGCACTTGCATTTTCCCCCATAGCTGAGCCCAGCTGAGCCTCCTGCCTGATTCCTGCCCTGAAAACACCCCCAGTGAAATGGCCAGCAGTGCCAGCAGTGCCACCTCCCTGGCCTGGCAGAGGAGCCAAGGCTGGGGCTCAGCCCTCCCTGGGGACAGCAGAGCCAGGGGAAGGCTGGGAGATGGAGCCCAAGGCTGGGAGATGCTCCAGGGTGGGCACAGATCAACAGGCTGCCAGCACACAGCAAACCCAGTGCCCCAAAAACACCCCAAAATCACCTCCCAACCAGGGCTGCCCAACACAGCACATCAAAGGCAAAGAGCTCCATGAGCAAAACCTGTCAGATCCCCCAGATTCTGTTCCAGATCTCCACAAAGGCTCCCCAGCCATGCAGGCCCTGCCCTCCCTCACAAGGTGATGCTGGTGGCCCCAGCTCAGAGACCATGGCACAGCCCATCCTGACACCTCCAGCTCAGCCTGCTGGGGTTCCTGGCACAAACCCCATCCCCAGGCACCAGAGAAGCAGCACAAGAGCCCAGGCTGGAGCTGGGCAAGCCCCACACAGGGGATTTGTGCCCCTGGCACAGCATTTCTCCTGCACAAAACCCCCTCACCCAGGGCTGAGCCTGCAAACCAGCATGTGGCATTTGCTGAGGACACAGAGAGGGCTCTGAAAGGCCTTTGCTGGAAGAAGCTTTTGTTAAAGAAAGGTTAAAAATAAATAAATTGACTTTTTGTCCCTGCAGGAGGGAGTTCTGCTGCACAGCAATGGTTCAGCAGGGAATTGTGTCCTGTGGAGAGCCTCACCTGGAGAGCTCCTGCAAGCTCTGAGTGGCTGCAGGGGCCAGACTGGACCTCTCTGGGGTTCTTTTGTGTGCAAAAAAAATCACATTTAGCAAGTCCTGTTTGTTAATTCCAGGCTGCCCCTGAGGGGGAACAAGCATCCATCAGTCAGAAATTCTATTTTCAGACACATTTGGGTGAATTCCTCCTTCTCTGGAGTGCTTTACCTCCAAGAACCTACATCAGACTCAGCCTAGCAGAGAGTGCTGCTCCTTCCACAGAGGAGACTCCAGCACCTTGTTGGCTGTACCAGGGCTGAGGCAGAGTCCCATTTATTCCTGCCAAAAATATCTCAAACTGAGAGACAGGGCAGGGCTGGGGGGTGGGAGTGTGCAGCCTGAAGGAGAAGGAAAGGGAGGGAAGGATCCAGATCCAGCTGCTGCCCTGGGCTGCCCCAGGGGAGAGGAGCAGCCAGGCTCCTGTGGGACACACAGCAAAGGACAGCAGAGAACAGGTACAGGATCAGCAAGGGAACAATTATTCACCTGAGAGTGACCAAACCCAGCACCCAAAGAAGACGAGAAGTGTCCAGTGAGATGTTTAAAACTCAGCAGGACTGGTCCTGAGCCAGCTGGGACAGCTTTAAAGCCAGGCCAGCTCCAGGTGCTGTCCAAGCCCAGCTCCTCTGCAATGCTAATCCTCCTCCCAAAGCTCAGCAGTCACAGCTCTGTTCCCAGCAGCTCCACAAACACAGCTGAGGGGGCCCAGAGGGGACACAGAGCCCTGCCAAGGGCTGGGGCAGAGCATCCCAACCAGACACAAACAGGAATGTTTGGAGCCCCTCAGTGTGCCCCGGGACAGGCAGTGGTCAGAGCTTCCCCTGCTTCCAGCAGAGTTGCACAAACAGGACATGGTTATCTGTAAAAACCTTTGTTTGTGTTTTTAAACCCACACCTTTGTTTGTGTTTTTAAGCCCACACCTTTGTTTGTGTTTTTAAGCCCACACCTCTGGTTCTGCAGAGAGATCACTGCCCATGAGATGGGATCCAAGCTGATGTTTGCCTGTCCTGCCCCTGCCAGCAGCTCCTTCCCAAGCACAGATTGTTCTGTGCAGCTCTGCCTCCCCTCACACCTCTCCCCATCAATCCCCCAGCACAAGGGACTAACCTGCCTCAGGAAAAGCCTGGCTTGAGGAGACTCAGCCTCTCCTGGCTGGTTCCAGCCACTCTCACCTGGTGCCAGGGGAGGCTCAGTGCCCAGGCAGCTGCTCTGCATGGCCAGGAGGCTCCCAGTTCCATTCCCACCTCACAGCAACCCCTGGCACACAGGAAGAGCTCCGAGCCTCTTTGCTGGACCCATCCCAGCTGCAGGTCACCAGACACAGGAAATATCCCTGTGCTTGGTGCCCAGGGCAGTCCTGAATTCCCCTTTTTGCTCCCAAGCTGTGGAGAGGATTTTCCCTCAGATGAATTCAAATTCTTTCCTCCTGTTTTGACTGGGAACCCCTAAAAGCTTTAAGATGCTGCAGTGACTCAGAGACAGAGTAAGGAGGTAAATCAAGTAGGTGAGAATAGATTTCCCTGGCTTCAATCATCAGGAGGGATCATTTGCATGCTGAGAACACCCTGTAACACACATCTCCTTCCACCTGCACCTGGGAATTCATTCCCAGCTCCCAGGGACAGTCGGTAATGCTGCTGAGGTCTGGTTTGGGAGACACAGAACATTTCAAACTCGCTGCTCATCCCTTCCAAACACATCTTCCTGCCTTTGCTGCAGCAGGGGAAGTGAAGTGCATAAACTTCAGCTTTAATTGCCAGCTCATGGCTGGGCAGCAGTGCCCAGGGAAGGAGAGATCCTGGGGTGGGGAATCCAACCCCAGAGCTCTGCCAGGGATGCCAAAGTGTTCCACCAACTTCTGCACCTCTCAGCAGCAGCCTCTCACAACAAGACTGCAGCAAATCACTCAAAATTCCTGTGAAACCCAGGGAACTGAGTCTTATGCAGCCCTGGGGCACCTTCTCTGGAGGGTCCACCAAAACACCGTAGTGATGTGAATTTTGGAATTGCTGCCCTCCAGATCCTATAGTGCCTTGCAGCATCCCTACTTTATGCTGTGCTCCCACAAAAGACAAGGAGGATCAGCCCTGGGGTGAAGGTTTGGCCCCCTGGACTTGGGCAGGAATCCACCAAGCCCCTGGGTGCCAGGGAGGAGAAGCCTCTCTTGGATTTCAAATCAATGCTGGTCAGCGGGATGAGGTTGTAGCAGTCTCCCAGTTGTATTTTCCTGGCCCCTACACATCTGGTCTGACCACTGACCCTGTCCTGAGGGGGACACCACCAGAACTGGGGAGAGCACAGAGAGGAATCAGTCCTGCCCCAAAGGCTTTGCCCCAGGATGTGCCCTCAGGGATTCAGGTACCCCAGGACAGCCCCAGCCCTTGTGCCTCCTTACAGCAATGAAACCAAGGCACAAAACCAGACCACAAACAGCCTGACCAGCGCTGGGAGCACACCCAGACTGCCAAAACATTCTGAGACCACATCAACTCCAGGGATTTAGTCCCACTGCACCCCTCAATGCCCATCTCAGCCTTCACACGTGTGAGCCTGGCAGAGTCAGAGTCAGCCCCACCAGCTCCCAGTGTTTGCCCACCAGAGCCCCAGCACTGGAGCCACCTGAAGGGCTGTCACACCTCACCAGGGACACTCCCAGGTGCTCAGTGTGCCTGGGCTCTCCCTCCCAGCCCTGCAGACCGAATTGTGTGCCCGGCCCAGCTGCGGCCACGCCGGCGCTCCCCAGCACACACCTCCCTGCCCGGCTTCCCCAGCTGCTGCTCCTGGCTCCCTGCCTCCCTCCCCCAGACATGCCAAGAGGCACGAGCTGACGCATTGATTCCTTCCAGCCTAAAGCCTCAAACAAGTAAAATCCCCCCCTGTGAGCAGGAGCCTCCCTGCCGTGCCCGTCTGCAGCAAATGACATCCTGGAAGACATACAGTACACAGTCACAGGTGAGCAGCATGGATGGGCTGGAAGGCTGGGGAGATGGTGGGGAAAGAATGGAACAGAAAATGGAACGAACAGAACGAGGGCTGAATTAGTGACATTTGCATCCTCATCGTAACTAGGGGACCTGACTCCTTGTGAATCACTGAAATCCCAGTGCAGCACAGAGCATCCTCCTCCTCCTCCTGAAAAACAGCTCCTTCCTCGCTCCACACTCAGCTCTGGGCTTGCAGGAAGGCTGCAGCATTTCCTATGGCAGCTTTTTTTTTTTTTTTATTGCAGTAACAAATGAATTATTGCTCAGATGGGGGACTGAGCATCTCTCCTGCCACACAAACATGGTGCTAATGCACAGTGGGTACTGTGGCTTTAGCAGTGTAAATAAGCTCGGGGTTTCTGCTGCACAGGGAAGGTGCAGTGCAAGTTAACAGTGGTCTGTGGCAGCCCCATGGTCTCAGGCTGCCATTCAGATATATAAAAAAATATAAAAATCAAGAAGCACATATATAAAAAATTTAAAGGAACTGGTTTCCTTCTGCTCCAGCTCCCTATTTCATAACCCAACTTTAGAGCTGCCGTGGCTCTTTAACATAGATTTGATCCACCACCCCTCCAGCCCGTGCAGGCAATAATCCATCCCCTCTCATTTCAAAGGGAAAAGGTGCTGCCTCCCCCCAGCCCCCCCAGCAGCCCTGCAATACCTTTGTCCGACATCACTCCCCATGGATCCCATCCTCCGAGACGGTAACAAGGGGCTCACCCCGTGCACATCTTCTGTCGTGCCTGCTGGGACGGTTTTGACGTGGGCATTGCTCTCTGAAGGGGAATTCTTCAGCTTGGCTCTCGCCATCCTGGCAGCCCTGGCTGCCTGTGTGAGTTGCTCCCGTTTCCCCCCTGAACTCTCTCATACATAGCAATCCTCCCCGCAATCACTTTCGAGCTGTCGGCACGTACCATCTCCTTCCTTCTCCTCTCTCCCCAGTCACGGCTGCTCAGTGGAACAATCCTGCCCTGTGCATTTATTTTGGTAGTGAGGGGAGTCAAGGCAAACTCTCTGGCCTTGCTGCCGCAACAAATTTGGTGCAAAACCGCCAAGAAAACGTCCACGATGCAGAAATCTCTGAAAAGGCTTTGTTTGCTGAATAATGAAATTGCCTTGCCTGACTCTGTCAAAAGAAGGATTGCACTGCTCTTATCACCACGGGCAGGGCAGGGGCTGGAGGATTATTTTCTCTCCCCATTGCTGTTTTTTGGTAGCAGCATGAGGAGGAGGAAGCTATTTTATCTTGTTCCTCTGTGTACAGAGCAGCGTGCTCGCTGCGTGCCAGGGAACACACTCAGCAGCTTTGGCTCCCTCAGGCACGCAGCAGCAGCAAAGCTCTGTCCCCTCCTAAATGCTGGGAGCCAGCAGAGAGGAGCTCCTGCTGTTCCCTCAGAGGGGCCAGCAGGGCTCAGCTCCTGCTCACCTGGCCAGGCAGGTGCATGTCACCTGGCCCACAGTGACTCACCTTTCCCTCTGCAGCTGACAGCAAAATCTGCTGTTCCTTCAGCACTCCTGGCATCCATTTCTCAAGATATCCAACAGGAAAGGGAATTCACGGTGGCCAGGAGAAAGCTGAGCTGGAGAGAACACCTGAGGGCACAGGTGGGGCAGGGAAAGGGTCCTGTGTCCTTCCCTCTTTGGGGAATGCCACCAGCCCAGAGCTGCTCCTGCTGTTTGCCAGCAGCCAGGAACAAAAAACCTCCTCAAGGTGCCACAGCCTGGGTGGGGCCCAGGGCTCAGCACCACGGACAGCAGTGTCACCACAGCACCATGAATGTCACCACAGCACCAGCAGTGTCACCCAGCTCCTGCCACGGCACCCCAACATGCCAACCCCACCCCAAGTGCTGCCAACCCATCACACCAGGGCTGCCCCATGGCCCAGCCCCACTGCAGGGCTGTGCTGCCCCTCTGCAGGCTGGAAATAAAGAATAAATTCACTGATGGTCACCATGCCATGGCCTAAATCAATGTGAATAGTCAGGCTCCAGCACAGGATTTCTTTAAATGTTTTTGTCCAAAAAGTCAGTGCATTGGCTGGAAGAGTCTTACCAGAGCTTGGGACCTGCAGCTGCGAGAGGGCTGGGAGAGCAGGGCAGGAGCTGCCCTGGACGGCAATTCTGGGATCCAATCCTTTCCTTCCAGAATGAAAAGCTGACAATTCCCTTTGGCACAGCTCCATGCCCTGACCACACCTTCCACCCCCTGCCAGGCTGTCAGGGCACCCAAATCACTGTCCTGTGCCAAATGCTGGGAAGAAAAGGCCAAAAGGGCAATCCTTTGCTCCCTCCCTGTGCCAGGAGCTGCTCTGCCCTCTCCTCTTCCCCCAGCCATCATTTGCCCCATGGCACAAAGGCAGCCCCCAAAGTCCCCATTTCCTGTTAACCAAATCCTGATTTCTCTGCTCACAGAGTTATTTCTTAATGGGATTTCACCATCCACACTTTGTTTCTGCATTTTGAAATGGAAAATGGATAAAAACCCGCAGCCCTTTTCTTAATGTGCCAGCTTTCAGTGCACATTTAATTTCTTGTTTTGCCTCGAAATGATTCATTAGCTCAATACATTAATTTTCCACCCAAGTCATTCCTTTCTGCTTCATGGTTTGATTCAGACTCTTCAACTTATTGCTCCACATCTCTTTCCTTGCGGGTGCTGTCCTCAAACACCAAACATAATCTGTCATGACCAAATATAATCTATCAGCCCTCTGGGTTGGTGTGCCCTGATAAATCCTCCTGGACCACAAAGCCACTGGGGTGGGGCAATCAGGTGTCTCTTTTTGAATGAATTCTATATTCTATTATATTCCTAATTGCAGAAAAACATTATTTTTAGGCTTGAGGTTAGATGTGGAAAGGGGCTTAGGTTTAAGTTATTCATCTCAGCACTAATGCCCTCACACAGCAGCAGGAATTGGGGAGGGATTAGGGAAAGACCTGGAGAACTTTAACAGAACATATAAACTCTCCTGTCATGCTTGTGCTGTGCAGAAGGTGACAAAAAGCACGAAGAGCCCCGTGAGGAGCTCAGATCCTGCCCACAGAAGCCTCTCCACGATGTCACCTCACGGAGCCTCTCCATGGTGTCACCTTTTCTGTCAAGCACTTAAACACAAACCAAGGAAAGGAAATCCAGAGAGAGGGGAATGATCTGACCCCAGGCCATGAGAAACTGCAACCAGGGCTGTGGGTTAGAGCAATCATTCCCTTTCTGGGGAGAGGAGAGGTGGCAAAGCTGAGCAGAATCTGTGAGAGCCTGGATGATCCTCCAGGGCCCCTTGGGGCACCCAGCCCTGCCTGAGCAGCCAGAGCAGCCCCTGTGCTGTGCTTCCACCAGCAAACACTCCTCTCCCAGCAGTGCAGGCTGTTCCCCACTCTCCCCTCCTGACCCCCAGCCCAGCAGAGCAGGGGGAGCAGCAGGAGCTGAGCCAAGGCAGCCCCGTGCACGCAGCACACCCAGAGCTCTCCCCCTGGCAGGGAACAGCCTGTTCCTAGAAAGAGCCATGCTGTCACCTGAGCCAGCCCTGCAGGGACACGTCCCCTGTGCCTCTGCCCCAGGGACACAGCAGCAAACTCCAATGGAGCTCCTTGTTTGAGCAGCGCCTCCTCCCAGGGAGGGGGCAAAACCAACCAAACACAACCTCGGGAACATCAAAGCCCAAATCAGGATTCCTCATGTCCAGCAGCACCTCCCAGGCCAGCTGAATGCCAACCATCTGACTGCAAGCCAGGAAATGGATGTTTAATTTTAGTTTGAGAGCCCATTACAAAGTGCTGATGTCTCATTTCAGCATCTCCGTGATGCAGAGACCACTGCTGTGCCGGGGGCTGGAGACATGGCTGGGAATTGCTGAGCAGCAGTCATAATATTTCAGAAAATAAGATTAAGAAAGAAGCAGATTCTTCATTGCTCTTAATTGAATCCACAGCAACTGCACTGTTAAATATTCTCCCTTTTATCCAGGCCTCTTTCTGTCCTGGCTGCCAAAACTCCCTTTACTCACATATCCAGCTTATTAATAATAAAGCATCACCCTGTCCATTAGAAGGAGTTGATGATACAGGAAGGGGTTGAGTTTTTCCCATTTTCTGGCAAACAAACCTGCTCTGCTCAGACACAACCCAAGGGTGTTAGCTTGCAGGACCTCTGCAGGGAAAGCCAGGTTAATGTATTTTAAAATCGTGAAAGCAATCAGCTCATTTTAAAATCTTGAAAGGAATCATCATCAATGCAAAAATCATTCCAAATTCACAAGGAGTAACTTGGGTGGGAAAACACACTTTGGAAGAGGAGCTTGTGCTCATGAGCTGCCAGAACCTCACAGGAGACATTGCCAGAGCTGCTGCTCTAAGGAGGGGCTGTGTTCATACAAATAAAAATGTTAACTGCAGGACCCTGAGCTGAAAAGCCATTAACGCTCATTATTATCCCTCCAGGAACCCCTGACACCCTCGGCAAGCAGCTCTAGGAAAATCACCTTTCCCTGCATGGCCCCTCTGTGTTGTGCAGAGCAACCCTGACCTGCCTTTATTTAATAACACCGAGGAAAAACAAGATCCCACGTAATTTATGGCTGCCACAAACACCTCCTGCATTTCAGGACCCCAACAAATGTCACAGCATGACATTATCAGCTCAATAAACTTCAGGTTCCACTAATGCTCAGATAAATGCACAAAGCTGCCTGGCACAGCCTCTTGCTGGGTGTTTGTCACAAAGTGCACACGCACCAGCTCAGCCCCCGAGCCCCAGGGACTGCCCTACATTGTCACCAGGCACTCTGCAAAATTGCTTTGCAAAAGCTGCCAAGGTCTGGAGGGTGCCAAGGCTCAGGCAGAGCCCTGCAAAAACCACCCCCCATCCCATTGAGGATCCTGCAGCCAAGGCACAGAAAACAGCAGCTGAAACATCCCTGTGCAGCAGAACTGCCTGGAAATGTCCACACTTCTGAGGAAATCCAAAGATTTTATTTTTTTCTCTATTCAGTAATTGTCCTTTATCTCTATGGGAAGTTAAAATCGCAGAAAAAGGAGCTTCTGCTTCCTCACCAGAATGTTTTTTTTCCTCTTGACATTTGTCTCAGTGAAAATAGTAAATTTGCCAAAAAGGAAAAAAAAAGAAAAATAAAATAAAAAATGCTGGTGCTTCTTGCTCTGTGCAGAACTTGGCCTTTCCATGCCTGTGCAGTGCCAGAGCTGCTCCCACACACACATGGGGTGCCTGGACACCCTCAGAGCCCTCTGGGCCAGCCAGGATCCCCCCTCCTGCTCCTCCAACAGCACACCCTGCTCAAGAGTGCCCCAAGGAACTCTGTTCCCAACAAAACAAACCCTTCTGCCAGGATTTTTAACTTCCATCAGCTCCTGGAATTAAAGTTGAACCCAAGGAGCTCCAGTTCCCTTCACAGTCAAACATAAAATTCCAATACATTGATTAACTCAGATTGGAGATATTACAATATACAGCAGATGCCTGGGAAGGGATTTATGAAGGTATTTATTAATAAAAGGGCTTTTAGGAAATACTTTTACCTATTGATCCCGAGTCAATTACAAAAACTTCTCTCCATTTTCTTTCCATTAGCCTGGAGAGGAAGGTCCCTGCCATGGGAGCAGAGCTCAGCACTGCTGGGAGAGCCAGCAGGGCTCTGCCAAAGATGAAATTTAAAATTCAAAGAGGATCAAATCCCTCCTGAGGGGCTGCAGAAGGCCGGGGTGGAGGGGGAATCCTACCTGCCCATGCCAGGAGGGGCATCCAGGTGAGCTGGGGTGGATCCCATGGGACAGACACAGTTCTGTGGGGCATCCAGGTGAGCTGGGGCAGATCCCATGGGACAGATACAGATCTGTGGGGCATCCAGGTGAGCTGGGGCAGATCCCATGGGACAGACACAGTTCTGTGGGGCATCCAGGTGAGCTGGGGCGGATCCCATGGGACAGACATGGATCCTTGGGGCAGGTGCTGCTGGAGCAGGGCAGGGCCAGCCCCACTTTGCAATTCAAAGCACTTGCACACCAATCCTGCCTTGATCTCCACTCCCCAGGGTGATGGTTCCTGCCTTCCCCACTCCTTGCA